ATTATAAGTGAATGAAATAAGGCCTGTCCGACCGCCTGAGACAGGCTATATTTCTGACAGACGGTCTAAATTTACAGCTAGCCAGCCCTTTAGTCTGGTAAAACTTTTAGATAACACGTTCCATACATCTGGGTAATTTTCTTTGGATTGTCTGGTCTGGTTAAATCCATTTGGGGTTGTTAACATTTTGAATTTACCAGCCCTGATGTCTGGCTGGCCATGGGTTTTTGGCTTATTTCATACACTGATATTATCTTACATTTCAATGTACAAATAACAGAAAGGGGAGTAGGATTAGCTACAGTGTCAGACACAACGACTCACTGGACATATCTGTTGAATTTCTAGATACACCTCATGTTGAATTTCTCTAGACACAAAACCTCATCAGACAATTCTGCTTTATTTCTGCAGACACACCTCATCAGACACATCTGCTGAATTTCTGCAGACACAACAACTTATCAGAGACATCTGTTCATTATCTTCAGATACAAAACATCAGACTATTCTGCTCTTTTTTGGAAACACGATACATGATCAGAAACTGATTTTCCTGAATTTCTACAGAAAACACCAGCCACATCCATTGAATATCTACAAACAAGACATCTTCAGACATGTCTGGAATATATATGAATAAACACATCATCAGACAATTCTGCTCATTTTTGGAAACACAATACCTCATCAGAGACATCTGCTGAATTTCTGCAGACACAGCAAATCAACTGAAATACTACAGACATAACACCTCATTAAAACACATGCTGTATTTCTACAGACATCTCTGGTGAACTACTCCAGACAAAACTGGACCTCAGATATATGTGCAGAATGGCTCAGACACACCTAGTCAAACATGTCTGTTGAATGTCTTCAGAAACACAGCCACAGTACTTCAGGCCTTAAAGAATCAGTCAGCTGACACTGGCAACATACATCCAGGAATTCACAGGTATCACAAAAGACAGGAGTGAGTGAGTGAGTTTAGTTTTACGCCACACTCGGCAATATTCCAGCTATAGGGTGGCGGTTTGTAAATAATCGAGTCTGGACCACACAATCCTGTGATCAACAGCATGAGCATCGATCTGCGCAATTGGGAACCGATGACATGTGTCAACCAAGTCAGCGAGCATGACCACCCGATCCCATTAGTCGCCTCTTACGACAAACATGGGTTGCTGAAGATCAATATTCTAGCCCGGACCTTCACGGGTCACAAAAGACAGGAAGTTTTTTACACAGTTGAAATCTTTTATAAACAAGAAAAAATTGTGTCCAGGGACACGGATGCCCCCGCGGACATTCATAAGACAGATAAAGATCAATAATTGAACAAAATTCACGAACAAGTTCAATAAACATCTATGCAACTATGAGATGCACACCTTTCAAGTCTCAATGAAACACACGTATATAAGCTGAAGCAATTCTGTTGAGGAGAAGTGGATAGACTTAATCCCCCTATTTCACCATCATCAGAGAGAAATTCAACAAAATTTATCTAAGTTCAAATGTCTCCAAACATACAAAACACTATAAAATACAAAAACAAAATATGAGATGCACACCTTTAGAGTCTCTATAAAAGACATGTAAACTAAATGAGTTTTGTGCAGTGTTTTTTGAGGAGAAGTGGATAAAGTACACCCCCTGTTGTATAGGACGAACAGGATGAATAGAACCAAATTCAACTAAGATAAAACATCTGTAGAAGTAACAAAATTAAAAAATTGGATGAACAAGGTATGAGATGCACACCTTTAGAGTCCAAATGAAACACAAGTAGAAGCTCAATCAATTCTGTTGAGCAGCTTTTGTGGTGAAGTGGATAGACTTCATCCCCTATAACACTATATTCAGGGAGAAATTCAACAAAATTTATGTAAGTTCAAACGGCATTAAAATTGGAAAAATAAATAAAATACAAAATCAAAATATGAGATGCACACCTTTAGAGGCCCTATAAAGCACATGTGTAAACTAAATGAATTCCATAAAGCAGTTTTTGAGAAGTGGATAACGTATACCCCCCTGTTGGATGGAACGAACAGGCTGAATAGAACAAAATTCAACGAAGTTCAAACATCTGTAAAAGTGACAAAATTAAGAAGTTGCATAAGAAATTATGAAATGCACACCTTTAGAGTCCCTACGAAAGACATGTAGAAGTTTATTCAATTCTGTTGAGCAGTTTTTGTAGAGAAGTGGATAGACTTGATCCCCTATAACACTATCATCATAGAGAAATTCAGCAAAATGTACCTTAGTTCAAATGTCTCTAAACTTAAAAAAACCCAATAAAATACAAAAACAAAATATGAGATGCACACCATTAGAGTCCCAAGAAAGCCCATGTATAAGTTCATTGAATTCCACAGAGCGTCATTTGTGGAGAAGTGGATAGAGTACATTCCCTGTTTTGTAGGGACGTACGGACGGACAGACACGGGGGGTAACCCTATATGCCCCCTGCCATATATGGTGGGGGCATAAAAACATGTCCGTCTCCAGGGACTTGGTCACAATGAAGATATTTGTCAGTATCTTCACAGAAAACAACTGGGCATTACCAGTTAATATCTGGAGAAGAAGGAAGGATATATGTCTGGTCACTGCAGCAAAGTATATTTTTTATTCCTCGAGGAGCTGACCCAATTTTTATACCTCACAATTTCTATGACAACATGCAAACAGGAGAGCAACAAAAAGCTGAATCATTTTATTGTTCCTCCAACCAAGTGACAATAAACTACAAAAATATATCCCTGTATATCATTTTTTCACACACTGTGTTATGCCCTCAACTAATGGCTGCATTACGGGGCAAAAATAATGACTGTCGTTCTTAACAACAGGCGCCTGATCAGTTGAGGCTAAACTGTTATTTTTAAAAGATTATTTAACAATAGTTATTGGTAAGCCTTGATATATCCCCCTCTGTTAACAAGCTAAGTGGTTTTAGCGGGGTCGCCACCCACCATTGCAAAACACAGACGGTAATTACCAACTGCACCTAGCTGTCTTGAAATTGGAGACGGAAAATTACTCTTTCACATTTCAGTTCAACACGGCTGACCTACGACAACGCGAACATCTGACCTCTGTGACCTTCACCTTTAACAAAGTCACAGAGTCCGTTTCCCTGGTTCCAAAACACTACAAGATCTCCAAGGTGTGTGGAACTACAGTGTGTGTTCCAAATTAATCACACACTCTACCTTAATTTCAATCACGTCCACAATCTAAATATTCGGATACGTCAGACAAAAAATTCAAGTTCAAAGACTGCTTGAGATAAAACTTTCTGAGACATGTATCAAAAATTTCTACAACCCTATCCATTTTTTTATTAAATAGGTTAAACAGAGTTATGACAGCGTGTTATTTCTCCCATCGAGTCACGGAATGATTAATTTACGGGTAGTTGGAGGCACGAATTATCGTCATACCACTTATAAAGAGCGCAATAATAAGACATGGATAAGACGGATACCCTTCATAATTCATATTTTACGACCTTGGTATGTAGCGGTACGAGACGGAAGACGATGTCGAGACGAGTGTGTGCGGGGTGTGAAGGGACACAAGAATCCCCCACGGCGGGGCAAACACTCAAACACATGACACATAAGTAACAATCGCTCACCAGCACTTCACCACCCAAACTGCCTACCCGGCACGCTAGGTCATATATGAACATATTCGTCTGTGTGTTGAGACCATTTCGATCAAAGACAGGCAGACTTTGCACGGATCATGCAGAGCTTAGTTTGTCGTCTGCCGATGCGCAGTGCGAACTCTGTTAAAGACAGACACTCGGTCGTCGCGCGTCCACCGACTGGCGAATCTCCCGGCATCAAAGAACACACCTAAGTTACCCCTTTATCAGGAACATAAGTTAGAAAAACAAATGAAATCCAGATATATATGTAATGGTAACCTTGGACCGGAGCCATTCATTTATCGCAGGGCATGTTGTGTCTTTTGTTTTTTTGTCGTCAATTGCGTCGTCCTTATCTTGGTACCAAGATTTGTAAGATTATTGGATTGACCAAAATAACGTACTTTCATACAAAGCCTGACGTTCTTTAATCTACAAGTAGATTTCTCACAGAGTCAACGAGGGAGCGTTTCAGCCTACCAGGCAGTGAAGCTTCTTCTACAAGGTATAGAGTGAGTGAGTGTGTGAGTTTAGTTTTACGCCGCACTCAGCAATAATCCAGCTATATGGCGGCGGTCTGTAAATAATCGAGTCTGGACCAGACAATCCAGTGATCAACAGCATGAGCATCGATCTGCGCAATTTCAGAACCGATGACATGTGTCAACCAAGTCAGCGAGCCTGACCACCCGATCCCGTTTGTCGCCTCTTACAAGGTATAGAGGAAACTTGGTCTATATCAACATGCACTCTCAAGAGTTCCTAATCTGAATGAATATTTCAAGCGAATGTAGACTGTACTTATACCTCCCCGAAATGTTGTATGAATACAATTTCACAGAACGGACCAAGTACAACCATGAAGTGACTGCATTCAACAAATACAAACTTATTCCCTGGCACTCATGGAGGACTTCGTTCAGACAACGGCACCATTAGTCGTAACAAAGGTGAAAAACATGTCATCTTGTATCAAAACGCTTTAATTATGACAACTTAGATCAGAGCACAATGTCTCCGTCACCCATGTTATTCTTTATCGAACAGTGGACGCGCACCCAAGAATTGCGACCATGACACCCTGTGTCTTTTTTCCCGCGACACCATTATCATACAGCACAGAGATTAACTTAGATGAGTCGACTAAAAACAATATGTCATACATATATATGACGTCTGTGTATAGGAGGTACACACACTGCATGTATTTTTCTCATAATTATACTTTTCTGGAAAATAATTTACCCAATCTACATACATACACAATAATCAAAGCAACAGAGAGCCTTTCAGGTTTCACATGACAGTTGTGAAGACGTTCCCAACTTACCCAAAAGCATTCTTTGCGGGACGGTGTGAATATCTTCCCTTCACATGCTCGCTGAGGGGCGGGGTGTCTGGCTCACTCGGTACCACCGAACCATCCTCCGTCTTCGGGCGACTTTCTGTCATCCGTGGCGCTTGGTCCGTCCCTGATTTAGTCGGGGACACGAGGTTGATGTCCCCAGCGTTCCTGTCCTGAGCTACTCCCTCTTTCCCGGCTCCCACCTTATCACGAGCCGGCTCTGGTCTTTTGGTCTTCCCGGGCTCCATACCGCTACCCGCTTACTGTGGACTTAACAGCTCTTCTCTAATCCATCTCGGGTAAAACCCGCAGCTCACTAACACAACTCAGTCTACCCTCCTCCAATCAACATACATACGTCCTGAAAAATGATCAACATTTGACCTGAGAATACTCCACACAAAGGGTATATAAGTCTATTTCAGCCCCTGAAGGCTATACACTCCGATCACTCACGAGCGCTTATCGTGTAAGTTTTGACAATTTCTGTCCCGTCTGTGGTAATATAATCCCGGAAATTTTGTCACTATTTACATCTCCATGGTGAGGGGGAACCTATTCGCTGTGGTGCTTCTCTCTCCGTGGACCAAAATGATCCTACCTAAATCCTGAAGCTTGACGTTAAACCTGGTTCCTCGTGGAATAACTCACCGGTCGTACACATCTAGAATATGGGGGATAGACTTCCCTATTGGTTCCTGGAGGGTCGACGTGGCTTGACCGTTCTCCCAAGCTTCCGTCAGTCCACGAGTCTATCCAGTCAATTTATCAGACGCACGGTCGACAGGTGGTATCCTCGTCTCGCCGGTCCAGGTCTCAGACACAGATTACCTGCCTACCTGTTACAGTTACCTGTGTTTATAACTCATTATCTCGAGGTGTCCGATAAAGGTCTACCTGGATGTCATATTTCGTCAACGGTGTAGCGTAGTGCAATACACATCGTCTCCCTGTCATCGGCTCATCAAATTGATACACTGAAAACACGATGTGATAAGGACACAGGCTTAATATCCCTGTAACAACAAACAGGGAAATCCGATAGTATTGAGATGCGTACCGCAGGGATTGTCCAATTTGACATGCGACTATCTCAGCGGGTTCGATGTAACCGTATCATTCGCTACACACAGGTCGTCTACAGACACCCATACACATGTGTATCAAAGACTTGGGTGTACAGCACGTTCTGTACTCCAACACGCCCTGCCCGACCAGGACTCGCGGAACGAAATCAGAGCTAGACACGCACCACCTTGAAACTAGAGTGGCTCCTTTTATCTTGTAAATAAGTATAACTTGTATAGAGAAGTGCCGAGAAGGAAGGCTAGAACAAGTCACTGACAGAACGGACGTCTCTCACTGCAAAACGTAAAGCCATCACGTTTCCACACCTTAAAACAACGATGCCGTTAGAAACGTTGGCGTTTAAGACTCCTACAAGAACCGCTGCTTGTCTGGGATAGTCACAATAATCATCCCGTGGTTACACTGAGAGTCGAATTGCTGTTATTGTTCGCACCCAGTGTTGCAGAGTGGAGATCCTACGGTACGACCGACACCTGACACTGCCCTCTTAACCCGCTGGGCTCTGTCAGAGGATCCAACTGAACATTACTGTTCATTAATCAAATCCCCGACTTAATTACTACAGCAGAATTGACGTACCTAGCGGTGCACGAAACAGGGTCTTCTTTATGTTGTTCAAATACAGCAATTACTGACCAGAATACTGTAAAGAATGACTGCCATTGCAGGTACCGATACGACTTGTCTCTCGGCAGTATACTTAAAGCCCTATATCACAGCACGACTCCAGCACGTCGTTTCAGCTATACTCTACAACCCTACCGCTTGGAAGACCAACAAACGCGCCGTGAGAGAAGATTGGTCGTTAATAATTCACAACCTGTTGATCGGTTCTTCATTCGGATAGTGTTGTACTTTTAGCAGTTATTCGGCTCCATAGATACAGACAGTCAGAAATATTGTCAATATCCACCCTCCCTCTTTCCTGAACAAAACCCGTGCAAATATCCGGTAGACTTTATATTTAAAGGTCAGCAAAACCAGAGCCGTGTTTTAATCTTACACTGACATTTAAGGCATTAAATGATACATGGCAATCACGTGTCGTATATCACTCACCAACATTAAATGTGTATCGGAAATTATTAAGACGTGAAGTAAGACTGGGAAATTAACACAAATCGACGGGTGATTTTGTTTCAGGATCCGTGAATACAAACTTGGGTCTATTTACTTCTCAATATCAGCACACCGAACAGTCACGAAGAAAAAACTTCGCCAACATTTTTTTTCCGAAATTGATATTACAGGTCTTGTTGAGGATCGGATTTCTTTAAAACAGAGTTCATTAAAGTGGCAGGAATATTTTGTATCTTATATAACATTAACAGTGCCTGGCTCATCCATGTATACTTGAATGCTGTCTGATCTGAATTAAGACAATCTTCCAAAGTCACCTTTTGGTTATTGTTAGAATTGTAATTATAAACTAGTAAATCACATTCCGTGGCTGGTAAGAATCTGTCAATACAGCCTCCAATAAGTGTTATGGTTAGATCATTCAATATGGGGCCTGAATTACACAAATATTTCCGATCAGTTCTAAAAATATTGTTTAAGTATTTTCCCGATACATTAGTCGCGCCACAGGTACTTGCAAGCGGCCACTCCGTTATAGTGCATGTGATGACTTCATTTCGGTAAAGAGAAACATTTATCCGAAAATTATAAATACAACTCTCGATAGTTGGTACATATCTAAAATAGACCCCCCAAAATGTTTTAAAACACAAGCCTGGTTTCACGTCACTAGTTTCCTCTCACAAGATACACGGCTAGTAAGGTAGATACTTTCTGTCTGTCACTGCTAAAAACATAGCTTCCCACTCAATAAAGCATTGTATTACAGTAAACTTGAATTTATGAATACACCACAGTATCGGCGGATTATAACGTCATACGTTTTCAGACGGACGTGTAAACTGTCGCTATAGCGAGGCGTGTTGGGTCACGCAGACGTTGAAAAAACTCGGATGATGGCGTGTGTTTAAGATAATGTTGTCCTTAATACGAAAGTGACATGTTTTACAAATGAAAAAAATAACGGATGTTTAGTTCTTCAGCGTCTGAAAACCCGTAAGAAGAGGATAATACATGCCTCGATCCGGTCAGCGAGGAATTGTTCCCAGCGTAAGAAACTGTAGTTAAGGCTTAACATATGTTCAGTCGCACAATTCTAAATTAATTAATCCTAAACAGCATGATATAAATATTTAACATCTAGGTTAATCAATGAGATGACTAGCATGTGCAGCTGCTCCTGGTAAATATCCACACAACCGCCATGACGTTCTGCCATCACAATCCTAGCGTCTGCCGTCACTGACTTTAGCCGGCTGTGTTTACCGGCAACGATCAATTGTTTTTGGCCGCTCACCTCAGAAAAGGAAACCTAAGAGATCCGCTGACTTAATCAACACCGACTGTGAGAGCTCATGAATTATAGCCTCGATGAGAACACGAAACACAATCGCGCAATCTTCGGTGAATTTATCATTGCATATCACGTAGATCCACTTCCGGTTAGAAGGTGAAGGCGACTCTAATGGCAAAGGTCAAGGTTACGTAGTGTACCTTTCGCGTGCACGTTCACCCGCTATATGGCAAGCGAATGTTTGGTAATGAAATATGCAAGAATATTTGGCTAAAGTTGGTTTTGGGGTGATTTCCTGAATGCACTCGACTTAATACCGTATAACATGATATGTTATTTTGAGTAAGGGTTATAAATCATTTATAAACATTATTAAATGATCATGGTTCAACTTAAATATATATTTTGATAAAAATGACATGTCATGTTGCCAAATTATTATTTTTCACAAGTCGTTAAGTTTTTATGGAGACAGTATTGCCTCCATATTCAGCAAGAGTCAGCATTATGTGCCTTGGTCAAACCAGGATCGGCTAACCTTGACCCAGGTTATGGTCAACCCGTTGGCTGTTGCGTCTGTCTGAGATGTTGTGTCTCACCTGAAGCACTGTTCAACTTACACACCCACTTTAAATTCCTACAAATACGATATCGAGGATTCATTCATTTTTCCAACTTCTACAGCTATACTTGGTTTGCAACTAAATTCTAGTAGTAACAATAGATACGATACGAGGTGAAATGATGCGTAAATATCGCGTTCAAGAATATTTTGCGTGCGTGCGTGCGTTGCATGCTTGCGTGTGGCTGCTTGTCTGGACTAAAGCAGGATCTATAAATAGTGTTAGCCCACGGAGATACCATGCCACAGTTTAACACTGATGCCCCACTCAGTATAATACCCGCTGATATCATTAAATCATATCATCAACGATTTGGAGATCCAATTCCACAGGACATCTGTCATGTGTAACAGTTATTATATTAACGGTATAAAAAGGACTGGAACTACTATAGCTTCTGAATTAAAATATGGCGGTATAAGATTTCAGAAACAGAACACATCTACGCCAAATCAAACCGAAACATATAGTCTCATTAACCTATTCAGACAATGAGTTACGTTTAGCAGACCGCCAAACATTTCTGAAAGTGGGAACAGACCTCACAAACAACTATTTCCACGATTTCCAGGTGAAAATGGTACGACAAATGAATTTTAAACGAAACATTTAATAACATCGTATTAGATTTTATGGCGTAGTGTTACAGCATGACTTAAGATGAGACGTCACAATAATACTGATTATGAGGTCGTAAAATCCAGTTACAATGCATTGGCTCAAAATTCTGGACTATGTTTTTTGCGCTTATTCAGTGTAATCCGGACCAGACCAGTCAAACAAGAAACGGGAGAGCCTCGTTTTGAGAGTTAACGATTTCAATGTTTCTGACTTGTCAGAGTTCGCTGTACTATCAGACAAGGTTATCTCCCAACTGATTACAGGATTAGATTTGACAGACAGTGATTGACAGACAATGAACTGGAAGGTTAATTAGGCATCCAGTAACACCTGGACTGGACAGGTATAATGGAACAGTCCACTGTCCAGTGAGTAGAGTAGGGTGAGCCTGAAACAGGTTCGTTACTGAGAAGTTTGATTGAGTGTAAATAGAACTTTGTTGTGATTAAATGATAATCTGTCTTCTCTTCTGAAGATTGTTTCTACTATCAATTACTATCGAATATAAAAACAGGTTTGTCACTGAGAGGTTTGATTGTGTTTATTGATTGAAACATATTTTATTCATTCAAGAAAAGCATTGGGCACAAGTTGTCCAACTTAAAAAAGCCCTCTCCCAATAATAGGATATGTACAACAGAAGTTAACTGTAAAAACGTTTGTTTGAGAGATATAGATGTGTACATATTTGAAAACATTCTGTACATGCCATGTAAGATAAGATTAATACCAGTCAGTATTCTAATTTTAACAATACTTTCTATAGAGTGTAACAGTTTATGTCTTTGAATAGTATACCATGGACATTCAAGGAAGTAATGAAAATATTCTCACATCCATGGCCACATTGACATGATGCATCATTTTGTATTTTTATTCTAAATATATCATAATTACACACTTGTACTCGTCATAGATCTTAATCTTGTGTGCAACACATTTAACTTCCTTATTCCATATGAATAATACATAGGTGCTCATTTTTCTTTAACGTGGATATAAGAATTAAATGATGCAAGAGAGTCGCAATTTCTTATAGCTAAGGGGGTGTTACCACTAAGGGGGTGTTACTCCACATTTAACTGCTGATGGAATAAAAGATGATGTTGAGTACCTCAATCTTGTACATGGTTGGCTAAACTTATTGGAGTTTCTTAACTCATAGCTTGTCCGGTTACCTACTTCAGGTGGGAGTAAATCCTGAAGAAAAACTGGTGTTGTTCTATTTAGTAGGAACTTTAATTTCTGAAATGATCCAGTCATTTTTTGACAATTTTTGTAAAATATGATGTCGCGAACTCCCGTTTGACGAGAAGGTTAAGCCCAAATGTTTATGAAAATTTTATATTGAAGCAATCAAAATTCAAATTAATGTCTTTTCGACCACCTTTCAAAGTAAATAATACAGCTCCAGTTGTATTCTTGTGTTTTTATTTGGATTATTCCATTATAATGTGTAGGTAATGGGTAGTAGCTAATCTGTTCATTGAACCGTAAATGTTGTTGTTTTAAGGCGTCTGCGAACTGGCTGTCTGCGTCCTTGTTTTATCCTTATATTGCCGGGCTCCAGGTAAGGCAACTAGTACCACATTTTACCGTCTTCCGGTATGAGTGAGTGAGTATGGTTTTACTCACTCTTTTGCTTTTAGCAATATGAAGTAGAAGTTGTAGCTGAAGTGATAGTAGTAGAAGCTAACATCGTGGATGTAGTAGATTAGCGATGTAGTTGTGCAGTAGAGTGAAATATATAGACGGAGTGGTGATTAGAGTATAATGATAGTATTAATATCAGTTACTCATCTCCCATTACTCGTTCTATTATGAATTCTTATCCATTAACACAGATTCCACTCAATATGAAGTGTATTGCCCACTCCACCCATGTCCATCTCCCTCAAGGACCAATCGTTGACCGCGGTGCCAGACCATGAACAATGGCACTGGACAATAGTTTGCGTAGTCGGTATGCATTAGAAGTCCCTTAACGTTAACGTGGTCTATTGTGCACATCATCAATGAAGGACATCGACACAGTGGCAGCAATTAGTAGAACACTAAAGCTCTCAGTATCATACGACACAACAGATGATCTGCTAAAGCGT